CCTATTTATTTTAATATCGTAAGTATGTCTTCTAAGTGTATCATATACTCATGCACGTTTCTAAAATGCTTTCAAACTGTCGTTACCCAAGATAAAAATGAAACAGAGAAAACGTTAGGCCGGATGATAGTGGACATATAAGTGCTCAAAAATACATCACATTATTATTACTAGGATACCTATATGGAATTGTAGAGTCTTATACTGTTGATAAGTTCTAGATAGGACATAACGTTCATCCTTGATTCCTCTGCTAGCCATAACCAAGTAAATCACTAAAATAAATATTCAGAAAATATCGACGTGTCCGCAAAGGAGCCCATATGAAAATAGGGGTAGGACGATTCGATTCAATATAAAGACTGAGGATTACGAGTTCATCAAAAAGTAGTTTTAAATAAATAAACTGTTCCGCAATAGGATTAGACAAGTTGGTAAAATGAAACCATCATTTGTAGGAGCAGATATGCAAAACTTCAGCAATGCCCCATTCTCTGTGAGAAAGATAACCGTTTTGTTGTAAGACGTTCGCCTTTTCGAGTAATATTTTGCTACCTGAATAAAAGACGTGAACCAAGATGGCAGAGCTTTCTTCAAGTTTTGGGTGATTTCTTGTAACTTCGGCCATGTTCGGTTTGGCGTGATGTCTCTACAATATATATGACATCGTATTCACTACAGTCTACTTTATAAACAGTTCTCTTGTTCCAAATGGAGAATCGGAACTTTTAATTTACGCAGATGTGAGTGTAATGTTTGTCACCTTAAAGAATACTCTGATGTTGTAACTATTCAAGATACGTCTTATTTCCTCTGTTGTGGATATTCGGTAAGAAAGTACTACGGTACTTATCCAAACTTTATGATTTGGTTGTCCTGTGTCTTTTTTCGACAAACTTTTTTCTATCGTTTTTAGTAGCTTTTCCAGATAGTTGTATTGTTCCATTTCACTGTGTAATTGGATGGTTGTAAAGATCACCTTGAATATCAGCCTGACAGCTTAGTACCAGATTCCTACCAAAATGGAACCACTGAGGAATAAGACAAAATACTAGTTTATTTTGTCATTTGTTCTAACATACTACGCTGGGACAACACAAGTAAACATGCATGTTATACGATGAGCAATTAAAACTGTAGTTATATTGTGAAATAATAACGTGGTAAATTTTATGAACTTTAAACAGGCTGTTGCATAATCAATGGTTTGTGTAATAGCAACTAACACGAAGAGATGAGAAAACGATTTATTATGTCAAGTGGTCAGTTGTTGTCTATACTTAGTGTCAGGACGAGGAAGATCAAAATGATTAAAACTAAAGATAATAATAATAATAATAATAATTGCAAAGGCTCTTGTGATGAGTGAATAAGAGGGCGATGCCTATTACAGATGAGGTATGCAGATGTCCAGGGAGAAGAAAGAGGTTGCACGAATTTCTTCTGAACACGCTGACTCAACTTGTTAAGGTAGATTCCAGTGGCTACTGTTATATGTAGGAGACGAACCCATAGAGGATTATGGACAGTAGAAGGAAAATGATAAATGACTTTAAAGGTGTTGTGAATATTAACCTGGTGACTAGTGTTGGCCAGATGAGGGAGAGCATTGAGCTCTATATCGATGTTCTTTACCCTTAAGTTAAACAAGGCTTTATTTCACAAAGTGTGTACGAAACATTCAGACCTACCGTAACAGTAATACCAACGTTATACGGTTTGCCGAAAATACATATAAATGGACAACCACTCTAACCAATTCTTGACATATCAAACTCTGAATATCATGCGATTGTGAAATGGCCCATACAACTCTTGGAACCATTTCATAAAGAAGTTGTAAAGCACACCGTTAAAAATACTTTTCAGTTTATAGAAAGGATGATAGACTTGAATGTGAATAATACGTTTATGATCCCCTCAGACGTATCATCCCAATTTACCAATATCCCCTGAATGAAAGCAGTAGATTTCATATTTAGCGAAATGATCAAGTGAAATGCAGAAATTGGAACTACGCTAACTACCTTGAGAGAACTTCTCTTAAGGTGTACAATGAATGTACACTTTCTCTTCAACAAGAGATTCTCCATGTTGCTACAGGTCACCATAAGGCCCAATCCTAACAGATTTTTTCCGAGAAAACTTAGAAAATGACTCTTTAGAAAGCATAAGAAGCGAGTTAATGCTTTGATTTCGTTACGTGGATGACACGTTCCTAATTGTGAAGAAGCAAGATGATGCGAGGATTAATTATACAGGATAAATCTAATAGCATCTATCGAGAGATAACCTTCACCATTCACCTTCTCGGATAACAAGGAAGATGTATGGAACGATAAAAAAGAGTGTATATCGGAAACCAATGTCAACCGGTCAATATACTCTTTTTTTTAGTTTCATCTCTCACAGTAAATGAAATTTAGTCAAATGTTTTGCCTATCTTCTTAGATGACACCTTCAGTGAAGAACTCCAAATGATCTGCGACCTACTGAGTAGTATGGGATATATAATATAAAAACTACAGTGCCTGTAGCTTTCAAAATACTGCTGTCCTTAGGACTACAGTTTCGGGGTGACATAATCAGCGGAATTGTGACAGAGCCTAAGGGAAGCCTTGAGGCGATCATTTAATGCAGCTAAGTTATATTGTACATTCTACAGTCAGCCGACGATGACCTTACGAATGACAGACACAGTACAAACTTTCGGCTCTTCCATGAGCACTTACCAGCTCAACTGCTCCTGTGGAGCTAGTTACATTCGACGTACAGTTACGTAAGTTCGTCGTCAAATCACCAAACGTTATCCGTCATGGTTAAGGACAAACAACATATATACGGAGCTGAATACTCTCATCTAACCGAGTTAATATTAACAACCCCTTTAAAAATATTTATTATACTGATTCTAATCGCAGTCATGCTCTGCGATTTCGTCTCTTACATATAGCAGAAGCCATTGGAATCCATCTGAACAGGTCCAGTTTGTGTGCTCATAAGAAATTCATGCAGTCCCTTTCTTTGACTTGGTTATCTGCGTATCTCACATTGTTTGTTTTCTAAATGTCCAATTAGGAATTTTTGTATATATTGATTTCAAGGTGATATTAGTCATAGACTGACATCATTTGAAGAAATATTGGAAACCTAGCAGTATTAGATACCGATTTCGTCCTAATATGAGAATTCTCAGCAGTGCATACCCACGACACCGTCAGGGATTAGACTCAGAACCTTTGCATCCCACGAGCGCCATGCTTCCATTAAGCCACGGAAAAGAGGAATCTAGCGCTTAACATTTAATTAGTTCTATCAATCTGTATTGCAGCATGACCTTTATCCAATGCCACTGTTGAGTAACTGTTCTTACATTTGACTTAGTTTCCCCCAGAGATTGCGATTTCTTTGTATTACAAACTGATACAAGTAGGAAAATGTGGACCACTGCATTTTTGACAGTGGTTGAAGAGAGACGTGCTAGCCACAAGACTCATGTGTTCTAGGTTCCACTCGCCACTTTGTCATTGCTGTGAATAGCTTAAAAGTCGCATGCAAAAACGGAATGCGCATCCAGTATTCTAAGGCTTTCATTGGTGTCAGTCTATGTTCAGTGCCACCCTGAAGTCATCAGCTTATCATTCAACGTATTCAGAATTTTTTGTTTTTTGTCGTAGTCTTCTGTCGCCAAATTTAAATCATCTATGTACTCAAAATCGACCAAAGACTATTCTGTGGACAGATTAGTCGCTGTAAAACCAATTGAGGAGAGGGAAGTTTCTCAAAAGCACTTCTGTGAAAAAGTTACACAAAACCGGAGAGAAAAGATATGCTTGACGGACACTACTTGATGTGAACAACTGAGCTGATACTTCAGCTCAGGCTCTAACAGAATGCCCTTACCGGGTGTCCCTGTCAGTTAGAGATGCTGCTGTAAAGCCTCTCAGACAACGGGGTTCAATGTCGACTTCATGCCAAGAAATATAGCTCATATTCAGTAACATTCAGCATATATATATATATATATATATATATATATATATATATATATATATATATATATATATATATATATATATATATATATATTTCAAATCTGATCAACACATCCTCCTACAGATTCACTACCTACACGGTTTTCTTGGGTTCTGTGTTCCTGAGGTCCTCTTAACCATTTGGTTATTATAAAACCTAGAATTTTAGACAATTTTTGGTTAGTTCAACTTTTTTATGACTATCAAAAGAGGTTTTCTGTGTGTACTAGGAGACTGAGACAATCAGTAATTCAGAGAAGTAAGACAGGATCATGTCTGACTTCCATGACTTAGCTAACATCTAAGCCAGTTCAATCAACAGATCTGAGCCATTATTCTTAATTTCACCTGGTGCTAGTCTGTCAGGGAATGACATCTTTCCCTGTTTCAGTTTGCTTACAGCTCTCTGAACTTCTGTAGAAGTTGGATACACCATTCTGGGATTGAAGTTCCCCATAGGTTCTTAATCCTCACGATTAACACTGAGAAAATGAGGTGTAGGCTTAAGTATATTTAAAACAGGAAATACTTGGCTTGCAAGTTGATATGGGTCTAAAATACAAACAGTGATATTTTAGTTACACAATCAAGAAACAGACAAACTAAAACATAACGAGTAATGTCTACGTCTGGATTGAAATATCCTGTGAGTGATATTTAAGTACATACAAGGGGAAATAAATAAGGAGCACACAAGATTAACCCAAAGTGTGGGTGTTTCATCAAACAGGAATTTGATTAGTAGATCGTCAAACTGCCTGTTATTCATGATAAATAAATATATCAATTTTTTTCTTAAATATAGACATAAGTAGTCCTCAGACAATATTGAACCGTACGCGTAGGAGTATATATACCTTCAGAGATCGATCGATCCGACCCCGCACAACAGTCAATGGGAAAGTATATGTATCAAGAAAAAGTAATGGAATTTACGGACAAAAAACAATCGCAGGAATTACTCACCTTAGCATTAAGTTCTTCATCAGATAGAGATGGATAGATTTGAAAATCATTATCAATACATATCACATCACTCAATGTTGTCAACAAAAAAAAGATTAGGAATTTCAAAAATAAATGATTTCCAATGATCGCAGTCATTACAGTTCTTTTCACGAAAAACTGTTTACTTTAATTTCGTGTTAATCACACTGTAAACTACTAACCTGTTTATCAATGATGATGCAACTTGTTCAACGGAGAAAAACAACTTTTCAATTCTTTATGATACATAACCTTTAATTTCGTCTGAATATTTTATGTGATGAGAAAAGTAGTACAGACTTTGGCAGTGATTGGTTGATTTTCATTGTCCATGTTTGTTGAATGAGAGCAAAAAAATCAATAGATTGTACAACGAACCAATGAGAATCGTCTTATAGGCATTGGTTACTATTTAGTAGCATGAAGCTTAATATGTAACAAAAAAGTTGTTTATTCAGCTTCTTTTCTTTACACAGATAATGTTCATCATTTTGGTCCGTAGGCAATGGTCTAAGTTTTAATGATAGTCTTATGATTTAATTGACCTGAGATGATAGTACTGAGAAATCTTAGTAACTCAAAACTATGCCATAGATGTGTTTAAGAAAATCAACAAAATCTGAGATCCCTTTAGTGGCTTTATTTTGAATAGGTTGGACGAGGAATAAATGAAGGTGACAGAATTTACAAGGAGAATTATTCTGAATTTAAGATCCTGTAGATCTTCAAATTCACACAAGAGTATTTGATCAATGATGATACATTTAGATGTGGATATGATTTGGACGTGAACCCCTTCAATCTTGCCGATTACCTCCAACCACCTAAAATAATCCATAATTGTCGAAAGATGGTGAATTTTTCTACGTGGATTAAAGTTACTCAGCAAAATACCATAGGAACCATGAAATTGTGAGTTAATTTAAGCCTCAAAGTAGCGTATTGATTAGGTAGAACAAAAACAAATGAATTCGGGGTTTTGTGGGGATTTAGTGGTTTTTCAAGTTAGTATTCATCACAAACTGACATCAGCTGGAAAACACTGGAGACCTGAGAGCACTGAACAGTTGTTACGTCCTACTATGGGACACCTAACAGTGCACACTCATGAACCCGCCACACATTGCCAGGGATCCAACCCAGGACCTTCGCGTTCCGTGACCAGTTCCTCACCTTTGGACCAACTGGGTTGGCGGAATCCAGTAATCCATATTTCCAACTTCTGTCAGTTCACGACATAGTGCGACCACCACTCAATATCATCGTTGAGTATTTGTCCTCACGGCCATTAGGTTTGCTTCGAGAAGTGATTTCTGAAGTTCCAATGAGAAGTCGTGATCGTTGGGACAAATCTGGTGGACATGAGGATAAATACTCAACGATGATATTGAGTGGTGGTCGCTCTACGTCGTAAACTGACAGAAACTGGAAATATGGACCACTGGACTCCGCCAACCCAGTGGGCCAATGGTGAGGTGCTGGTCACGGAACGTAAAGGTCCTGGGTTGGATCTCTGGCGGTTTGGGGCGGGTTCATGGGTGTCCACTGTTGAGGAGTCCAATATTAGGAGTAAACAGTTGTTCAGTGCTCCCAGGTTTTCCAGTGTTCCTCCAACTGATGTCACTCCATGATGAATAACAAACTGGAAAAACAAAAAAATTATTTAACGTTGAAGTCAGAACGCCTGAAGGATATGGCATGGAAGAGACATCGTTTAAACTGGAACACAAGTAACATAACGGTATTTGGCATGAAGCTGGAGAAAGTTTGATGAAGGCTGATTAAGGTCACTTTTTGCTGACAGGTATCAAGGCTTTTAGGACGAATGACAGAAGCTTCCGAAAACTTAAGTATTTCTGTTAACCGTTTGCCTTGAAGGAGGTTTTTATCAAGAACTGAGGTCACAGAGGCTAGTGAAGAAAGTTAGGTAACACTGGAGGGCTGTTTTGTTCCAGTTTTCAAGTCCTTATCAGTACATTATAATGATTTTGTTTAGCCTTGAGTCGAGTACTTCATCTATCAAATAGCCAACGTTTACCAACATTAGTCACTTCACAGTATGGTGTTTCTATCTATCCTATTTACGATGGTAAGGTTTCAGAATCGACTTCAAGTGTGGCTTCCACTGGTATCCACTTGGGATAGAAACTCTTCAAACCAACTGATGAGAAATATCAGGTCATGTCCTTTTTATATTTATCATCTAAAAGATGTCAGTTGATTTATTTTACTTGAAGTCTCGTTCTTGAAATATACTGGTTACCTTTGTAGAGATTGCATACAATTGTGTATAAACTACTTCAACTATAAGCAATATTTCCTTTTCATCGTTTCTTTTACACATTCTGTACATTATTCCTAATACTTGTAAAAACGAATGTTGTTTATATACACACTTTTTTGGTTTTGGCGGTAATTGCATCTTTTGCTGCTGCTAATCGTGGAAATATATGCTTCTAACCATTCCGACTTCTGCCTCCATGACTATTGCCTGTCGTGCATAATAACTGATTGTCTTGGGAATTTACAGGACTTCTCATCCTACTTCCAAATATTACGACAATCAAGCCGACCGACGACCACAGCGGAGAGACAACAAATATCGCCTTCTGATCTCTGGAGTATCCTAAAATTGTGGTGGACGATAGTGAAGAAATAACCTTCAAGTAACCCGTGATTATCTATAACATTTACAATACTATTTTGTGCTATAACGTATAACTTTTCACACACGTGTATCATAAAATCCCTTTTTCTTGTAAATTATACGTAGTTTGTCATTTTGGTTTACTTGACATTCTTTGGGTCCACTACACCTTTCAGGACACCACTCACTGCAACCCAGTAGATGATTTTCCATCTCACAAATACACCTGAACAGGTATATACACAGTATAAATTCGCTAGAATCACTACTTATTTCTCCTTGTAGTTTGTGTTGTCCTTCGGTTTAGTTCAGGAGTAGTAGCCTAACTGCATAAGAGATTCATTGTACAACCTTCCTGAAACAGTGTCATAACAACTGAGAAAAATAATCTGCGTGATGAGTGCTTGCTGTCAGTGTTTGATATCAATTATGAGAAAATGCGTCTCCACCCCACCTGGTTGATCACAAGCCATAACTTCTCAAGCAAGTCATGTATCGACTACGGAAAGCGATTTGAATCAATACTCACCAGGGATTGGCTGATTTCAAAGCGCTTTACATTATCAGTTCGAGAATGTAGGGAACATTGTATCATTGGAGTTCAAGGCAGTTACTGATTGGCTTTATGGGCATCGGGATACCTAAGAGTCTTGGAGTCAACCTACAGCTAAGTCATAGATGCATACTGTTGAGTGATTCCAAACTTGGATGAAAAATCCGTCCAGCGATCCTAGGGTTTTCACTGGCTCTTTAACTGATGTGTCAATCCGTGATGAGCACTAACATGAAAAAAATAAACCCCTGAAAAACCTTATTCAAAAGTAATCTGTTGGGCTTGTTAACCAGCCTTAATCCTAAAATGTATCTTTCATTCCCCTACATATCTCCTGGAACAGATTCAGAGTCATGTGAAAAATCCTTTTAAAATCCTTCCTATTTCGTACTGTCTAATTTATTTCAAAATTAAGACAAAATGTCTAATCAGCTGGCAATTATGTTAGCCTTTACATCTGGAGGCTTACCTGAACTTTGCGCTACCTCATTTTATCATAGAATACATCGCGTCACATTTCCCCTTTCTATATTGTTTTAATCGTTCATTTATATCAACCAAGCTTATGACTATAGACCAAATGACTGACTATCCAGGAAATAATAAGCGCAAACTGTAGGTCATTGCCGAAGAAAGTTGATTACATTCAGTCACTCTTTTCCACAAATGTTTAACGGAATGCGGGTGTAGTAATGCTGCAATAAACATGACTTCATAACCTGTATGATGACGATTTAGTTTGCTTGAGTGGTTTCAAGTTATTCTGATAGAATCAAAGCCTTTCCAAGAAGAAATGCGATGAGTGGTGTAGCAATATCTACCAATACAAACTGGTACAACTCCAACTATGTAAGCTTTGGATTCTCTAAAGAAAAAATTGAGTGAATTACTATCAAATATTGTCCTAAACATCTGAGTAAATACAAATTATATACATAACAAACATTTAAGTCATACCTAACTACAGTTTGTCATATTTGTCAACTTTTTTTGATGATTTCACTGAATTTACTGCTCCGATTCTGAGTAACTATTTGTCCGTAGTCTGTAAGGACTTTAACTCATATGACTGCAATTTCCTTGCTTCATTGCGTCATGGAAATATGGTTAACTTTTCTACGCGTCTTGACACCATACTAGATTTAGTATTTACAAGTGACTCTGGCACATATGAAGCCTGTAGTCTGACTGCGCTGCTCAATTCTTACCACTATACCGTACGTGTTTTGGATGAAGTGTACGGCTAATTACACAATAAGGCTTTCGGATATCTTTCCAAGGAAGTCCAGTACAGATGCTTCTCATAGCAGAATATACTAAGTTTGACAAGCATGCTTAAAGAAACTGGCTGAGATACATTTCGTGATGAAGTTTCACACAACACTATCACCAAGACCACAAGCTATCTCAGATTCTATCTCGATATTTGCAACCTTGCTGAAACAATGTACACGAGATTTGTCAGACCTCTCTCTCCTCACCTCAAGAGGCTTCGGAGAGAAAAGGAAAGGTTGTATAAGACTAGATGCTACCCTGGCGTTAAACGACTTAACTTTTTAACTAAGTCTGAAATACATCCATATGCTATTTGCAACCAGAAGTTTCTGTCGTGTGAGAACTATTCCAACATATGGAAATTATTTAAAGAGCTTACTGGAAGAAAATAGATAACTAAAGAAGCTTTCTTGGATGCCTGAGCGCTAAACAAGTCATTTATACGTTGGTAAGCTGATTTCATCCTTCCCAGTGTCCATAGTCAAACAGATAGCTGTTTTCCCAGTTCCAATACAAATGACATATTTAATAATCTTAGATCATCCCGGAGCTTAGGTCTTGATGGTGATTTGAATATTAAATTTAGAACATGTGCAGGTATTTCATGTCATCCTCTTAAAAGTATCTTTAATGCTCCGTCTTACCGAAATCCAGTCGTCGCTGCTTGAAAGGAGATTAAAGTTGTACCTGTGCCTTATTCATCTACTGGATAAGATGTTAAGTATACCCACCTACCACTACAACTCTCCCTTCTTTGAAGACAATGGATAAATTACTTCTCCTTGTGTTTGAACCTTCAATGAAGGCTTTCAGGGTTGCAGAACAATTTACTTTCAAACACAGGAGAAGTACCTTAGATGGTGTCACTGCCTTACATCATAATAATATTTCTAGTCAAGATAAAGGTGCTAAGTATGTTCGTTGTGCCATCTTGGATTACTCATCAGCCTTTAACTCTGTTCCTAGACCACTCATGTTAAATAAGCTTGCCATAGTTCATACTGAGCCATGAGTTACAAAGTGGATGTATTCTTATTTTTATTCTGAAAGAAAACAGTCTACGCTCTATAAAGGGAAGCGCTCCACTTTATTGCTCACTGAAGCTGGTGTACCTCAAGGCAAAGTACCTTTTTCTCTTCTGTCTTCGTCTTTTTTGCACGATCTACCTTATTCTGTTGAAACTAATTTTATTATCCATTTAACTCTCACTTAGATTACTCTCAATGAATTTGATTCTTGTGTGTAATTGACCAATAGTCTCGAGTTAAGCCCTTCTAAATTTCAGACTGATAATTTTAGCCTCACGTGTAAACAAGATTTGTGTGATCTGTTCAAGACCCATTACTCCTGTTGCAATGATGGTATTCCTGCCGAAAGAAAATTGAGTGTTAACTATTTTGGGTTGAGTTTTACTGATGATATTTGTTACTCGTCTCATATCTTGTTAACTTGTGAGAAATCTTTTGTTTAACGTATTACATAAAGAACTGAGGCTTTCTGGTATAACTCAACCCCTGGTTTTACAATTTATTAATTCCTGCATTTCACCTCTTCCTCTCTATTGTCTCTACATTCTTCTACTTCTGTCAATTTGAGATACATCCCATCCACCGTCCAATGTCATCGGTTAGTATTTGTCCTCAAATCCGAATTAATTGATCCAACAGGTCACCATTTCTCAGTTCTCGAAAAGCGCCACTAGAAAGCGCTGTACAGAAAAAAAATATTTCTTCGCTGATACATGCCTTGTTCTTGTTAAATTCATCATTGTCAGCTTGCAAACTTTCCCACTTAGAAGTATCATACGAAGTGATGATGATTGTTCTTACCATTTAGCTAAATGTGTATTTACAATCAACCTCAGTAGTTTTATACAGGACTTTTAACATTCCTTCTTCTAGGTTAGGATATTGTCATTTGGTATACCGTGAAGGATGATGTCTATCTTGATGTCGAGACATCAGCTAGTCTACTAGCCGAATGAATAGTGAAATATATGCGAAGGTAGTGAAAACGTCTCATGACCTGCTACCTGTTGGCTCATAACATTTGATAAGAAAATATATAGCTTGATGATCACCATCCATTCTATGTAGAGTGGTGATGCCAAGAAAACGAGGATAATTGTCATCATTTTCATACTCCACAATAAACTCAGTATTAGCATGAGCACTTTTCAAGGCTCTTAGGAAATGGGTTGCTTGGGGTAAATCACCGAACGTAAGGAATTCAGAACAAATCGCTACTACTACCTGTCAGTTATTGATTTGACGGAATTAGTCAGTCTCCATTGGTATATGGGCTTTTACCTAGATATTACCAGCCGTTTTTGTTTGATAGTAATGATGATAAGTGGCTGGTTGAGGAATCCTATCTAAGACTCACTTGTCAGCTGAATGCACTTCCCCCCCTTCCCCCTCCCCCAATGAGTAAGTGAAGTTGTTCTCACTAAGAGTGGAACTTGGGGTAGATGGCTTCAAATACCAGAGCGTCATCTACTAGGCCACCAAGTCAAGGTCGCCACCCCTTGTGCAGAAAATATATTTTTCTTCCCGTAGTTGACTGGACCGAAAGTTTTGGTCACTTTGACCCATGTACATCCAGCTGACGAGTCTCAAATAGGACAACACGCAGGTCCTAGATTCTCTTGTCAGCCATTATCCGTCATTAGCATAAAATAACCCTCTTGTAACATGAATCATTCATAACGGAGAAGAAAAGTGATTGAAATAACGGAAATACATTTTGGTACCAACATGAATAGCAAATCAATCAGATCAAAACCATTCTCATAATTCTATTTAAATCAGTGAATTCTATCCAACATATCAAAATGATCTTGGCAGGATTGATTACAGTAAATGAGAACCATTCAACTATGCTATGACTCCCTCCTACTGCTGATGAGTGGACGCAAAGTGTATCTACCACTGGGATCTAAAATGTTCACCGAAGGCAAGAACAAAAGGCAAACAATATTGCTTCACTCCCTGGGGAAGTTTCACTTAAAATAATGTATCAGTCAGAACACCAATTCATCGAACAACTCACTCTGAAAGAGTCCAATGTTTCCATGAGGAAAAACATATTTCAGTATTGTTCAGACGATGATCATGAGTACTTTTTTTAGAATTGATCAATCCCTGAAAACCACCAGGTTGAATTATTGTCCCATGCTAATTAATGTCATGCTTGCAGTCATGACCTGTAGAGTAACTCAGTACATTTGGATGAGGGGACGAATACTCGTCGATGGCAATGAATAATGTTCGTCACATATCACGAATATGTCGATCATTGGATTCCTATCCAACGCTCACTACAAGACGTATATGTCCTGCATTAGCTACGAGGTCCTCGGTGATCACCGCTGAGGAGTCACGTACCAGGGGGAGACACCTGTATGATAACCTCACTTTCTCAATGCTCCTCCAACCAATGTTAGTCCATCATGAATACCATCTTGAATTCGAATAATTATATCATTCGACGCTAAATTTCACAAATTCTGTTTGGTACACTCTAATTCATCAAGGTTTGTTAACGGTTACTTGCCTGACTCAATATCGAAATACTTTGGTAACTTCAGCTGGTTGTGGCTAACACAGTACCACATCCCCTGATCAGTAGAAAACTACTTACATCCAGAGCATAGTAGGTAGGCAACCTGTTTAATGGTATGCAGTTTTGACGTACAATTTGACAACAAATTGACTAAGTTTAGTATAGAAATATACCTACACTAGTGGAAATAGACGGGCCACAATTTAATTGATTGGTGGTGATTGGTAGGAATCCCTGCTTCATATAATTCTCATGGTTGTTAGTACTTCTTAGCAAGGTCAACCTGAAAACTGAAGGGAAATTATGTCCCCTGTTAGATTCGAATACGGTCAACACCCGGGACTAGATAACATGAAATTGGTTGCTCTCTAGTAACCAATCAATGCAAACATGCAGCATATTTGGCAAATCATAGTGTTAACTTAATCGCGTGTAACGACCACCTGCCTGTAGATAGGTGGTACGCTGTTGAAGGGGAGGTATGTGAGTTTAGTCGTGAGAATCTGAAAGGGAAAAGAGGAAAAAAACATGAGCCAACGACTCAGCAGGTACATAAGATGTACTTATATTTAACAATAAACGATAACTAACAAACGGTAACAAACTATTACATAGCGTAATATTTTAAGAAGTTCTAGTGGATTACCTTCCAATAGTTAACAGAGGTTTTAAACAGTGTGAATTGAACATTTAATAGCAGTTTAAATCACGAGAACACAACTTATTTGTCCAGTTTTTTTCTGTTTTGTTACGAAATACAGAATTTAAATTAATTTAAAAACTAGTTCGGTAATAAGACAAATAAGTATTCATCATAGACTGTCAGGAGTAGGAGTAATAGACAGATGTTTTCCTCCAGTATGCGACTCAGCGGTGCGCACCAATGACCTCTTCAGGGGACGAACTCAAGATAGACGAGTCATGTAGTGAACATGTTACCATTCAGCTAGTAGGTTGAAATCCAGTTACCTATGATATAGCGAGATCATCATCGACTGCCATCAGTTATTATTCGTCCTCACACACGACTTCTTTGACCCCACGAATCGCGGCTTGTCATTAGAACTGCAATAAATCCCTCTAGAAGCGTTGAGCAGTCATTCAACTCGATGGTTTCTGGAGAATGACGAATTTCAAGGAGGTATTCATTATGGATTGGGATCAGTAGAAAAGTTTGGATGATTACTTTGTGATCCAGTGGCTGAATGATAAGGTGCTGGCCACGAAACTTGATGATAGTGGGTTCCATCTATGGGGTAGTCATGATTTCCCATTCATGAGAAATCACAGACACGGACGTAACAGCTGTCCAGTGCTCCCAGGTTTCCAGTTATTCTCCAGCTGATGTTAGCCTGTGATGCTTTATTTTATTATCGTTATTTATCCCTTGGATTCCTAGTGGAACATAGGGCTTAAGTAGCACGTCTTCATTGCACTCGCTTCTATGCAGTCTTCTCAACCTGACTCCACAAATTCCCAGGAGCTTTCATTTCCTCCTCACACCATCTCCTCCATGTCACCGTAGTCTCGAACGCCCAACTCGTCGTTCCCCATTTGGATTCCACTCGAGGGCGTGATGTCCCCAAACGGTCTTCTCAATGTATACCCAATCCAATCCATCTCCACTTCCCTCTGCATATTTGTTGGGCGATGGGTTCTTGCTTCGTTGATTCATTGCCAGCCGGCCAGAGTTCCTTGTTGCTTATTCTTATTATTCTGGCCATCTCATCTGATCTTCAGTATCGAGTGAGCGTAGGTGGCGGCTGTTGATGCATGTCTACAGTTTGTTGGAAATGCTTTTCGTAACACGCCAAGTCTCCCAACCATCACATACAAGCACTGACTTGACTGACTTAGTGTTGAAAATCCGAATCTTGTTCTTTATACTGAGTGCAGTGCAGTAGATCTCCACACTGATTTCACATTAATCAAGGCCCGTTTTGGTATCTTTCCGATCCCGGCTTTGACATTCTTATCTGTGCTTGTACTGCCTGTAGTTTAAACAATACTGCCTAGGTAGGTGAAAGAGACTACTTCTTTTGGGTTTCTCCCGTTCGTGGTGATTGGTGCTTGTTGTTGTTGGTGGTTGGGTATCTTCATCACCTCTGTCTTCGCTACGTTCACCTGAATCCCGTCTTCTCTGCTTTACCTCTTCTGTCAACTTGTTGGTTTTTGCCTGTAGATCTTCGAGTTTGTGCCACAAGACATTAGACATAAATCATCATCGTTGGCGAAATCCAAATCTCCTAGACTCTTTTCACCGGTCAGATAGCGTATGCCCATATTCTCACAGCTCCTCACAGTTTGTTGCATGATCCAGTCCAGTCGAGTCGACCACAATCAGGAAGATCATTGGTGACAGTATGCGGCAATCTTTTCTAACTCCTGTCTTCGCTTCAAAGATATCATTGAACTTTCCATTGTGTATCCACCTAACTTCCTAGTAAACTTCACAAAAGAGGAAATACTCTAGGAGACAAATGTTTTCATCCATTTAATAATAAAAAGCTGTTCAGTTGCATTTAATTATCACTGATCAGTCTATACACTAAATGATGAACAACAGGTATCTATATTAGTCAATCAAAAATTAGGAACACAAAAGATAAGAAGTGTTATGAAGTTTTAGGGATCTACGGTGTTGAATAAATGTATAGGGATTCGTCAATAAAATTATACACCGAAAAATCTTCCTCAAAATATATACCATGGTGCTCAAAGTGAGTTGTTCTCTGAGCTAGAGTACTAGTTGGCAAACTTCGTAGGTAGTCATGTGCAAAGAATCACTTCACTTCTTTTTGAAGCTTCACTGCAGTCATGATCTTATCTAGTATAACAATGAAGTATTCGACAACTAAAACGTTAGTTCAGAGAACAACTCACTCTGAACATTTACCCCCACAGCTACACAATTTCGCGGCAATACGCAGAAATACGTTAAAAAGAACTACTTTTGGTTTTGCACTTCAGCGATGATGTAGCGGATAAGAACATTCTCAAACATTGATCAACACAAGCTGTAATTTTAAGAATCATGTACACCAACCGTTCAATGGTGAACACCTGTGTGAAGGACAAATTAACACTACTAGCTGCTTCAACCTGAATATATCAGTTCATTTGCTCTTGCGGAGCTACAAGGGTAGACTGTTCTCAGAGGTACATAGTTCGGTGTCAACAAGAATACCTTGAGATATGGCTCAGGGAAAGGTGAATTCAGATTAGTCAGAAGGCCTATCCAACAATACTCTGTCGACAGTGAATACAGAATTTTAGAAGATTTCTTTTGTGATATTTATGAAATCCACAAGGAGTTTTCGAATGGTATGAGTAAACGTACATTACGATTTGCTGAAACTGTAGAAATACAGAAGTGGAAGCCAGAATTGAATACTCAGAAGCAAGTTTTTTTCATTCACTTTGTTTAGTTAGTCTTCAGTGTCCACTCATTGGATCTAATGCAGTCGTACAGAAGGTCAAAATTTGCCTCAGTATCTCAGTGGTAACATCTGTAACTACAATGCGGGGTGATGTGAGTCTGAATCTATCTGTCTGTCGAGACTACTGATGAGTACAGGCAGGCATGAAACACAGGTCAGGCAGAGTTTCTTTCTGATGGCCTGCAGCCAACTAACATCTATCAAAGTGCGTAGCTTTGCTGATCATATTAAAACATGATCTACTGGACTTAGTCAGAGCTCAGCACCAGACCACGCCAAATTACTCTCTGGTAACCAACCAATCCACCTAATCCAGTCCAATAGAAGGTTGCGATATTTCAGCGGTAACATCTCTGACTGCAGTACTGACTGATGCAGGTTCAAACCCAAGTCTCCTTGAGGTTGCAGGCACGTCTTTTTGACGAGTTCCAATAAACACTAGCGCTTGCTACCGACTTCGTCTAAATGTCTAACTCTATTTTGTTCAGGAATCTTCTGACTTGTGTTGCCACTGTTCTATTCTCTGTATGTTTGTGACAGAAGATAAAAATAAATAATAGTCTTACCCAAATATTATTTTTCATGTTCTCTTTTCTAGTTGTCTGCAGATAGAGGTTTTCTTGTTGGATTCAATAAATACTGGCCACCTAAAGGTGTCAACAGAAATCTAGGAGTTATATCGTCGGTCAAAGCAGTTGATGAATCAGCCTCAGATGTCTTCGTTCTACATCGTGGTGATCGAATATGGGATAATAAGTAAGTTACACTTGAGTAGGCAAAGTGTATCCGGTTAATGATTTCATTCTAATCCAAGTCATTTATTCATTCAAAAATCGATCAGTTGAATGATGAAAAGATGGTATGCTCAATCCATATTTGTTGAAAGATAGGTCCTTGGTTGGTTCGTGGCCAACTAGCCAGAGTTCCTTGTTGCTTATTCTTATTATTCTGGCCATCTGAGCTGGAGTAACGAGCCAGTGTAGGCAGTTGTTGATGAATATCTGTAGTTTGTTACAAATGCATTTCGCAACACGCCAAGTCTCTCTCCAAGTCTGAACCATCACATACAAGCACTGACTTGACTGACTTAGTGTTGAAAATCCGAATCTTGTTCTTTATACTGAGTGCAGTGCAGTAGATCTCCACACTGATTTCACATTAATCAAGGCCCGTTTTGGTATCTTTCCGATCCCGGCTTTGACATTCTTATCTGTGCTTGTACTGCCTGTAGTTTAAACAATACTGCCTAGGTAGGTGAAAGAGACTACTTCTTTTGGGTTTCTCCCGTTCGTGGTGATTGGTGCTTGTTGTTGTTGGTGGTTGGGTATCTTCATCACCTCTGTCTTCGCTACGTTCACCTGAATCCCGTCTTCTCTGCTTTACCTCTTCTGTCAACTTGTTGGTTTTTGCCTGTAGATCTTCGAGTTTGTGCCACAAGACATTAGACATAAATCATCATCGTTGGCGAAATCCAAATCTCCTAGACTCTTTTCACCGGTCAGATAGCGTATGCCCATATTCTCACAGCTCCTCACAGTTTGTTGCATGATCCAGTCCAGTCGAGTCGACCACAATCAGGAAGATCATTGGTGACAGTATGCGGCAATCTTTTCTAACTCCTGTCTTCGCTTCAAAGATATCATTGAACTTTCCATTGTGAATCTATTGACATGTAGCATCCTCATATAGCATATAGTTGTTGAATGTGATTGATAAAGGTTTGTGGCATCAAACCCGTAGTATTGAAGCGGCTTTCAAACTACTTCTCTGTCAACGCTGTCGAAGGCCTTTTCAAAATCGACGAAGTTGAGTTAGAGATCCAGTTGACTGCCATTCTATGCCCTGTTCCATGATGATGCCTAGCGTAGCGATGCGGTTTGATCCGCACATGATTTCTTCTTCCTGAAGTCAGCCTGCACAAGTCGTTCAAAACTTCTTTTTTTGGAGGGCTTCCGTTTACTGACACCTGGGCTCCTGGTGGTATTTCTGTACTAGTTGCAGGTGATGGCGGTGACCGATTTGAGAGTGTTTGAAGTGGTCAGCCCATCGTTTCTGTTGTCTCT